TAACGGCTGATTCGTCATGACCAAGCACTCAACTTGTAGCTGAAAGAACGTAGATTAATCTCCTGTCAGTAGCAATAACAATAAACCACCAGAACATTGTTAAAATCGCAGTTTATTTGCAACGGTTGACACTGTATCTCGTCATGCGTACCCCGGTTAGTTTACTTTGGACAGCTCGTAAACCGTTATACGGACTGCTTTCGTTTAGCTGAAGCACTCAATTTGTAGCTGAAAGTACGTAGATTAATCCACTGTTATTGATAATAACAATAAACGACCAGAACATTGTTAAAATCGCAATTTAATCGCGGACATCTATTTTTCGATTGGTGGCGCCACCCGTGGCGAATCGGTGAAACTGCTAGCCATATAATTGGCTAGTAGTTTCAGCGATTCGCCACGGATGGCGCCACCGGTCAAAAAAATAGTGGTATTCCGCAATTAAATGCGATTTTAACAGTGTTCTGGTCGTTTATCGTTATTTTCAATGACAGGGGATTAATCTACATTCTTTCAGCTTCAAACTAAATGCTTGGTCAACACGCGAGCTGTCAGCATAACGTTGGAAGAGTAGTCCAAAGTAAACTAACCGTGGTACGCATTACGAGAGACAGTGTCAACCGTTGCAAACAAATGCGATTTTAACAATGTTCTTGTAATTATTAGTGTCCAGCCGATAGAGTATAGTAATCTACGTTTCTTAAACGTTGTATCTAATGCAAAACGAAGAAGAATCATGCCCGTTCAGCGGTGTAAATGAAATCGAAAACTGTGCAAGTAGGGTTGCCTCCACATCAGGGGCTGCGGTAATACAGGCATAACTAATTTTACTAATTCAGTAGTTCTGCACTATTGGGTCCATGCATTAAGTCCTGAGGGACAATTTGAGACTAACAACGTTTATTTTAAGCTCTTAATTACTGAGATATTAGCATTTTTCCATCGCCAGAAATTTTCACTCACCTGTCGGTATAATTTGGCTAGCAGTTTGAGCTATTTGCCACGGGCGGCGCCACCGGTCAAAAAAATAGTGGTATACCGCGAATAAATGCGATTTTAACATTGTTCTGGTTGTTTATTATTATAGTCAATGACAGGGTATTAATCTACATTCTTTCAGCTTCAATCTGAATGCTTTGTCAACATGCGAGCTGTCAGCATAACGTTGGAAGAGTAGTCCAAAGTGAACTAACCGGGGTACGAATGACGAGATACAGTGTCAACCGTTGCAAACTAATGCGATTTTAAGAATGTTC